CCATCAATTTCATAAATCCTGCACTGATTTGCCTTACCAAAAAACAGCACCTCACATTTATCTAAATTAAACTCCATCCCTCACTCCTCGACTCATCGGCCCATCTGATCAAGGTCTCACTGTACTCTAAGATAATCTTCTTCAATGTTCAATACGCCACCTATTTTGGTGTCATCTGCAAACTTACTAACTATGCTTCCTATATTCACATCCAAATCACATATATAAATGATGAAAAGCAGTGGATCCAAACCAATTCTTGTGGTACACTACAGGTCACAGGCCTCCAGTTGGAAAAGCAACCCTGTCCCACCAGCCTCTGTTTTTTACTTTAAGCCAATTTTGTATCAAATTGGCTAGCTCCCCCGGATCCCAGGTAATCTAACCTTATTAATCAGTCTACCGTGCAGAACCTTGTTGAACGTTTTGCTGAAGTCCAATAGACAATGTCTATTGCTCTGCCTTCATCAATCTTCTTTGTCATCTTTTCAAAAACTCAATCAAGTTAGTGAGACACAATTTCCCATGCACAAAGCCATGTTGACTATCCATAAAAAGTCCTTGTCTTTCCAAATGCATCTAAATCCTGTTCTTCAGAATCCCCTCCAACAACTAACCCATCACTGATGTAAGGTTCACTGGTCTATGGTTCCCTGGCTTTTCCTTACAGCCTTTCTTAAATAATGGCACCACATTAGTCAACCTTCAATCTTCCGGCACCTCACCCGTGACTATTGGTGATACAAATATCTCAGCAAGGAGCACAAAAATCACTTCCCTAACTTCTCACAAATTTCTGGGAAACACATGGTTCAGGTCCCAGGGATTTAATGACCTTTGTGTGTTTTAAAGAAGTCTAGTACTTAACACTTCTGTAAATGATGACTTGTTTTGAGGAAGTTCATATTTTGTGCATTAAGTGCTAGAATCAGCTGAGATGCATACATTATCAATTAACCTGTTGACAGTCATTGTCCATACTTGTGTATGAATGATTGCACAGTATGCACAATGACTGTATAGATGTATAAAGCATATTTGAATCAAACTTCTGCAATAATTTCAGAGGGTACAGACAAAGAGAATGTTGAAAAAAAACCTAAAACTCAATCAACTGAAGCAAGTGAACCTCCGTGATAGGCAAACAAGGTCTCACAATCTCCTTTTTAGAAATTTAACATGGAACCAGGTGAACTAGTTGGTACCCATTGAAATCTGAATCTGTTGTTTCCTTTATTTTGTTGTTGCACGGTTTGGCAGTGATAATGAGACTAGTCTTAACTAGGCTCACTGATTAGTTTTGAAAGATAGAGATTTTGCTGGGTTCCACTTATTGCTAAATAGTTCTCTGGTTGTTACACAATCAGCTTTCTTTGGGAATTACTAACTGCATCTCATTATTTCTAATGAGAATATTTGAAAGTGATACTAGATTGGAAACAGAAAACATAAGAGAAACTCGATAGGTCTGACAGTGTTTGTTGGGAGAGATTAATATTTGAATCTGATATGACTCTTTTTTGGAACCCAGTAATGAAACAGAGGGGTGAGGGGTGAGATGGTTATCCTCAGTGTACTGTACAATATTTATCCTTCAATTAGCACCACAAGAGGTGGGTACTAAAAGACAGGTAAATAGGGGAATTCTCCATATCTTTATAATTTTTTAAAACTTTTGCAACAACTCTGAGAATAATGGGCTTAATTTCCAGCAATCCATCTCAGTGAAGTGTAACAGCATGGCAGCAATCAGGAAGTTAGGGAGTTGGTATAGATGTATTAGAGATAGCAGGAACTGCAGATGCTGGAGAATCTGAGATGACAAGGTGTAGAGCTGGATGAACACAGCAGGCCAAGGAGCATCAGAGGAGCAGGAAGGCTGACATTTCGGGCCTAGACCCTTCTTCATTTCTTCATAACTGCTCCTTTGAAAACTAAAGCAGAACTCATTATCTCAATCACACACTGTGCGCAACCTCGCTCAAATTTTTGTGTAATGTCTTGCAGTAGATATATGATATACCTTAAAAGAATGTGCACACAATATCATCACCATATTCTGGGAAGTGAACCCAATGGTAAAAAACTCTCGGACTCCAATTTACTGGTCTGTTGTCTTGCCGCATGACTCACGAAGGAACATGTGATACAGTACATTTGAATTGCTTAACTTGAGCCCAGACATGCAAGTGCCTTTGATTTCAATGTACGTATGTGAATATGAGGAGCTGAGTTTTTCAGTACTAAGTGGCCCATGTCTCATGTTTATGTTATTGGACCCAATATAAAGATCACAGCGTGATAGTGATAGATCATCAGTCTATCTCCCCACCTCACCACAGAATGGGTGGGGCCAATGTAACATGAACATTAACCCCTTCAGAATCATAGAAGATTATCATAGAATCATAGATCATAGAATCCCTACAGCGTGGGAACGGGCCCTTCGGCCCAACAAGTGCACACCGGCCCTCAGAGCATCCCACCCCGACCCATCCCCCTATAACCCACCTAATCTACACGTTCCTGAACACTATGTGCAATTTAGCATGGCCAATCCATTGAGAATCATTGCTCAGTACAAACAAAGATGCTCACAAGTGTGCCACAAAGACCCTAGTCATTGATTATTGCATGCATGGAGTCCCTAGCTAACAACGGAGGGAAATTGTGACACTTCCAATGGGCTGGTGTGCATCACCGGATGACCAGTGGCTACAGCAGCTTGGCAACAGATGCCAACACCAGAAAGAACAACCAACAAGGAAGCTTGGTAGCTGCTCATGCTACACTTGTGGCTGTCCCTGTCTTCTTGTTATGACCTCTTCAGCTATTACTTACAAAGGTAAAGTGAGAGTGACAGCCCTTTACATTAAGGATGCATTTGACTGAGTATGGCACCAAAGTGCTCTGGCAAAACTGGAATCAATGGGAATCTGGGGAATACTCTCCATTGGTTGGAACCAAACCTGGCACATAGAAGGATGGTTGTGGCTGTTGGATGGTTTTTACGCCCAACCATCTTCAGCTGCTTCATCAGTAACCTTCCCTCCATCATAAGGTCAGCAATGGAATATTCGTCAATGATTGCACAATGTTCAGCACCGTTTGCGACTCCTCAAATACTGGAACAGTCCATGTTCAAAAGAAGCAAACCTGGACTGTAGTAGAAATTGCTGTTGAAATTCAGCTGGTCTGGCAGCACCTATAGAGAGAAAACAGAGTTAACATTTCAGGTCAGTTCTGAAGAAGCGTCACTAGACCTGCAGAGTTTCTCCAGCAAGTTCTGTTTTTGTTTCAGATTTCCAGCATCCACAGTTTTTTGATTTATTGTAGCGTAAGACCTAGCCAATATTCAGGATTGAGCTGACAAGTGGTAAGTAACTTTCACACCACCAAGTGCCAGGCAATGGTCATCTCCAGCAGAAGAGAATCTTCCCATTGTACCCTTGACATTCAATGCTATTACTATTGCTAAATCCCTCACTATTAACATCCTGGGGTTACCACTGACCCGAAACTGGACTGGACTAGCCATTTAAATGTTGTGGTTACAAGAGAAGATCAGAAGCTAGGAATCCTGCTATAAGTAACTCACCTCCTGCCTCCTGTTAGCAAGACCAGACCTTGTTATCACATAGTCTGCTATTACATACTACCCATTGTTAGCCACTAAAGTCCTCATTGGCGACTATTCATTCTCCGAGGCTGACCATTAACCACTCCTTTGTCTGTCCAACTGTTCTTCTCTCTCCTTGGGCTTTATCTCCCCTTATCATTTATTCCTTATCCCCTCTCCCCCCACCATATCTTCCACATAAAAACCAACTTCTTCTGAGCTACTATCAGTTCTGAAGAAGGGTCACTGAACCTGAAACGCTAACTCCAATTTCTTTCCAAAGATGCTGCCGGACTTGCTGGGATTTTCCAGCAATTTCTGTTTTTGCTTCTGATTTCCAGCACCCGCAGTTCTTCCGGTTTTCTATTAGGGATGTGATGGAATACTCCCCACTTTCCTGGATTAGTGCTGCTCCAAAAACACTCAAGAAGCTTGATAGCATCCAGGACCAAGCAGCCTGCTTGATTGGTACCACATCTACCAACATGCACTCCATCCATCACCAATGCTCAGGAGCAGCAGTGTGTACTATGTACAAGATGCACTGCAGAGATTCACCAAAGATCTTCAGGCAGCACCTTCCAAACTCACGACCACTTCCATCTAGAAGGACAAGGACAGCAGTTACAAGGGTCCACCACCTGCAATTTCACCTCGAAACCACTCACCATTTGATGTGGAAATATGTCACCATTCCTTCACTCTTGCCAGGTCAATATCCTGGTACACCCTGCAGAACAGAATTGTGAGTTAATCTACTGCACATGACTGCAGCAGCTCATCAACATCTTCTCAAGGGTGACTGGGGATGGTCAATAAATTTTGGCCAGCTAATGGTGGCCACATCCCATGAATGAATTCAAAAAAAAATTGAAAGATGCTGGATTGGGCCGAGGAAAGATTTTGAATTCCTAGGGTATTGATTTTCATCAAGTGCCAAACCTCAACACTCCATCTCCCTTTCCCTCTATCCCAAAACAGCAATACCAGAGATTGGGTTTGAAGTTAAACACAAACAGACATTGCTGGAGAAACTCAGCAGGTCTGGCAGTATCTGTAGAGAGAGAAAAAGAGTTAACGTTTCGCGTCGTCAGAACTACGTTAACTCTGCTTTCTCTCCACAGGACGCTGCCACACCTGCTAAGTTTCTCCAGCAATTCCTGTTTTTGTTGTGCATTTCCATCCTCCACAGTTCTTGGTGCTGGTTTGTTGGGTTGGGAGGCAGTTGCGTTGTACCCTCCCGAGCTGCAGATGGCGCTACGGGAGGTTTCTAGGGCTCGGGAGCTCCAAAAGGCGGCGCGCGTGCGGCCAAACAATTGGGTGGGAAGTCGCGTGCGTGCGTACGTGACGTGGTTGTCGGACGGGAGCCTGACGCTGATTGGCTGGTACTTTGTTACATTTCACTGAGGATTTCCTGGCAGTAAGGAAGGTGCAGGATTGTAGAGGGACAGATGGAAAGATCGCTGCTGCAAACACAGGGCTTCTTAGAGATCAGGAACAGCACCCAGAGCGGGCTCTTGATCATTGGGTAACTGTTTTAACTTCTCTGAGCATACAGACTCACAGTGACTGATGACAAACGTTCAGGATCTCCTTTCTGAGCCGAGCCTTCACCACGTTGCTGCGACAGTAAAGCAACCTTTCGTACACACTTCTGACAAATAGATGCGAGAGTGTTTACTTTCATGTGTCCTCAAGATGGGAAGAGCTGTTTTTCAGAGCAGGAATGAGGATTTAATCAATAAATTTGGCTGCTAAATTCGCTGGGAGAAAATTGAGCTAAATACACATAGACAATATACCGTTCCTTCAGGACTGGGTTGACCTGTGAACTGAAATGATTGCTCAAGTATTGAAAACAAAAAGGCTGGGGATCACAGCGGGTCAGGCAGCATCCATGGAGAGAAAGCAAGACAAAGTTTTGAGTCTAGATGACTTCATCAGAGCTGAAGTGAAGGGGGCAGCTTGGAATGCTGGGGGAGAAAGAATGTTGATAGTTCAGATCTTAAATCTGAGCTATTAACATTCTTTCTCCCCCAGCATTCCAATTCCGCCCCCCCCCAACTATTGCATAAATGCTGCCCCCTGAACTTCAGCTGTAATGAAGAGTCATCTAGACTCAAAACGTTAGCATGCTTTCTCTCCATGGATGCTACCTGACCTGTTGTGATCACCAGCAATTTTTTGTTTGCGGTACAGATTCCAACATCTGCAATAATTTGCTCATTACTGCTCAAGTATATCTGGGGAGATGTTGTTCTATTGGAGATGTCTTTTCAGTGAGTTATTAGATCACTGGATGCTGATTTGGGTGAAGGCAAAGTATCTCTCACCACAAATTAAAAGGATAGTGAGTTGTCCCAAATGAAAGCAAAATACTGCAGATACAGGAGATCTGGAATAAAAGCAGAAAGTGTTGGAAAATCTCAGCAACTCTGGCAGCATCTGCAGAGAGAGAAACAGATGTTCTGAGTCCAGTGCTGCCTTCGGAGCTTGGTTCTATTTCTCCATCCATAGATGCAGCACTTTCTGCTTTTGCTGGTAAGCAGTATCCTGGCCAAAATTGTCCTTCAAGCAACATTGCACACAAGTAACCTGATTATTTATAACACTTATTGTGTGTATAAGATCTTGTTTTTTATATATTAACTGCTATTATTGAGCACAAAACTACAATTATTACACTTTGGAAGAAATTATGATACAAATGCAATTTCTGATTTAGGTGAAGGGGCTTTTCATGTGTGGTCAACTGGGTATTATTTACATCTTTTCCATCACTTTGAAACTGTCCACTGCCATGGCAGTGCAGTTTCCTCCAGTTAATGTACACAAGGCCCTTAGTGTACAATCCATACCCGAGTCACTGATTCTGTTCCCTCGTAGCAGCTGTCTTGGGCTGAACTATAATTTGTTACCTCAGCATTCTGTTTGATGTTGAGCTCTGTTTTTGACCCCTGCCACAAAGATTCCTTCTTCCACCTCTTAATTGCCATTCCTGCTGTAGCTAATTTCATGCTGAAGCCTTTCTTAAATGCCTTTGTTACCTATGATCAGATCAATGCTCCCTTGTCCACATGTCAATATTGACCTGAAAATTTTCAGTTCATCCAAAGCTCTGCATTTTGTATCCTATACTGCATCAAACTCCATCTACCCAATATCTTTGTCCTGGATAAACTCACACTGAGATCCTCAGCACCTCAAATTTGCAACCTTAAACACAACCTTGTGTTTAAATCCCTCTATGAGCTGATCATTCAAGTTCTTCCTAGAATAGAATAGAACAGAATAGTTATTTATTGCTACTTGTATTTTTTACAAAAAAAAGTGAAAAGTGTTTAAGTCGCTACACCTCAGTCATCTATACCCTAACTTCCAACCATATTGTATTATCTCACCTGAACTATCTGTTCCATGGCTTTGGCATCTATCTCCTTCACTCTGCCATCCTTCACTCTCCTTCACTCTATATTTAGTCACCCGGGCCTCTGCTTTAGAATTCTTCACTCCTTAAATTCCTTGGCTGCTCCATATTTATCTTCTTTAAGATTCTTCATCTAAGTCACTAAACCTTTAAATCTCCTTTGGCTATAAGGTTTTATTTCTCCTATTATTCTTCTGTGAAGTGCTTTGAGAGATGTTTCCATGATATATGTGCTGTATAGATTTTTTTTTGATATATATTTATATGTACTGATTATACTTGGTACTTGAAGATTGGAAAAGAAGCATTTTCTAAATGGCCATGCATTTAATGAAACTGGCTCACTATGTAATGCATTCTTATTAGTCTTGATTTATTTCTGCCATTATAGGCTCAGGGTGACTGATTTAAATTAAAATGTGTTTCTACTTTTTATTAGCTGATTCTTCATGAGGTTTTATCTTTGACAGTGAATAATATAATTTGAAGAAATTGCTAATAAGTATACTAGCCACTGCTAACCAAGGTCCCTATTATGCAGCCTAACTGCTAATTGAATCCACATTAAGATATTGAATCTTGTCACAGTCATCAGCTGATGTTAAATGATGTTCACAATATTTCACGTAAAAGAAAAGAATGTATTCAGATTTAGGTGTGTTTCAAGAATGGATACTATATCTTTCCATTATGGCGTGTAGTCTTGGTGCACACTCAGAAACATAACTCATTGTGTCTTCTTTGAGCAGAAACTTTCCAGAGAAATACTCCGAGCTGCAAGTTACTCTCGGCCCATCATCCATATGTCTTAGTACTGGAGGGCAGTGCATCAACCTAGATTTGCCAGTAGGCGTCAGAATTGTTCCTCCCTCCTGCCGCAATCTCCAGTATGTCGCAGGAGATGGATTCCACATGAGGCTGCAAGTTCAGATTAATCAACCTGCAGGTGACCATCTCTTATATTTTTAACTAAATTAATTATGCTGAAAATTATTGGCCAATATAGTCGAATTTAAATGTGTCTCACTTTTCATAAAATTATTATTCATGCAAGAGCTTTGTTGGTAATTATAGTCCATGGGTAACTATTAGGTTTCTGGCTGAATCTTAGAAATAGTCCATTTCAGACCTGGCCTTTTTTTTAAAAAAAATACTACTTCACACACGTTGAACATTCAAACATCAATTTAAAGAATCACAGCAAAGCTATTCGAATACCTTGAATGTTTAGAGATTTACAGCTAAAGAACACACTATAAATATAATTTTAAGTGAAAAAATGTAAGCACAATTTATCTTGTTCTCAGAAAAACTTTCAACAATCCTTTCTTTAATGGCTACAAATTGGCTTCAAAGAGGTCTGATTTCTAACCAACCTCAAGCTCAAATTCCATATTTTGATATGTTCCTTTAATTGATGTGGTCTTGTTAGTCCTTAACATGTGCAAGCTTGCCAAATCGGGAAGAGCTGTAAGTATCTTTTAAAGTCATATCAAAATTGTCTCCCCACCCACCAATTCACTGTACCTCAGCATTTGCAAATTGAGCATCCTTGGCTCAGTGCTTAAACATGCATTGTGGTCAGGAGGGTCTCTGTTTTAATCTCTGCTGACAGTCAGAGATTGTAATGTTGCTGTTGGGCTCATCGTCCTTAGAACATAGAACATTACAGCGCAGTACAGGCCCTTCGGTCCTCGATGTTGCGCCGACCTGTGAAACCAATCTGAAGCCCATCTAACCTAAACTATTCCATTATCATCCATATGTTTATCCAATGACCATTTAAATGCCCTTAAAGTTGACAAGTCTACTACTGTTGCAGGCAGGACATTCCACGCCCTTACTACTCTCTGAGTAAAGAACCTACCTCTGACATCTATCCTATATCTATCACCCCTCAATTTAAAGCTATGTCCCCTCGTGCTAGCCATCACCATCCGAGGAAAAAGGTTCTCACTGTCCACCCTATCTAATCCTCTGATCATCTTGTATGTCTCTATTAAGTCACCTCTTAACCTTCTTCTCTCTGATGAAAACAGCCTCAAGTCCCTCAGCCTTTCCTCATAAGATCTTCCCTCCATACCAGGCAACATCCTGGTAAATCTCCTCTGCACCCTTTCCAATGCGTCCACATCCTTCCTATAGTGCAGCGACCAGAACTGTACGCAATACTCCAAGTGCGGCCGCACCAGAGTTTTGTACAGCTGCAACACGACCTCATGGCTCTGAAACTCAATCCCTCTACCAATAAAACCTAACACACCGTACGCCTTCTTAACAACCCTAACAACCTGGGTGGCAACTTTCAGTGATCTATGCACATGGACACCGAGATCTCTCTGCTCATCCACACTACCAAGAATCTTACCATTAGCCCAGTACTCTGTATTCCTGTTACTCCTTCCAAAGTGAGTCACTTCACACTTTTCCGCATTAAACTCCATTTGCCACCTCTCAGCCCAGCTCTGCAGCTTATCTATGTCCCTCTGTAACCTGCAACATTCTTCCGCACTATCCACACTCCACCACCCTTCTACGCCCTCATCCAGGTCATTTATAAAAATGACAAACAGCAGTGGCCCCAAAACAGATCCCTGCGGTACACCACTAGTAACTGAACTCCAGGATGAGCAATTCCCATCAACCACCACCTTCTGTCTTCTTACAGTTAGCCAATTTCTGATCCAAACCGCTAAATCACCCTCAATCCCATGCCTCCGTATTTTCTGCAATAGCCTACCGTGGGGAACCTTATCAAACGCTTTACTGAAATCCATATACACCACATCAACTGCTTTACCCTCATCCACCTGTTTGGTCACCTTCTCAAAGAACTCAATAAGGTTTGTGAGGCATGACCTACCCTTCACAAAACCGTGTTGACTATCCCTAATCAAATTATTCCTTTCTAGATGATTATAAATCCTATCTCTTATAATCCTTTCCAACACTTTACCCACAACCGAAGTAAGGCTCACTGGTCTATAATTACCAGGGTTGTCTCTACTCCCCTTCTTGAACAAGGGGACAACATTTGCTATCCTCCTTGGGCTAAGAATAGGTGAAAGTGACATGTCATCCATTTCTGATTGCATACCAATAACACCTACTGGGAGTTGTATGCCTGTGTATCACCTGGAGGATTTATTGAGCTTGGTTAGGATGGCACCCATGTTCACTGACCAAGCTTGTACTTCACCTCTTTCCCACAGAGGAAGAGTGCACAGAGGGACAGAAAAAATCTGTACATGTCAAAGAATGCTTTCTAAGATTCTGTATGATGAAGTTAGTGAGAGGATTAATTCCTATTCATCCAAGCCTAAACTTTAATATCGTAAATCCTTCCCTGCTTGTCACTGTTGTATGTAATGGTCCTTCCGAAGGTCTTTCCCACTTTGACCCCATATTGAACAATAAAAATTGACATCTGAGAGGGAGTGCGATACAGCGGCTTGTAAGAGCAGGAACTCAGCTTTTATAAATTAGTTGGAGCAGAATGGCAGCCATTCCTGCTTTTCAGAGCATGGCAGCAAATTTTCAGCGTTTGACCTCACTTGGGGAAGCGCTGCTAAAGGATTCTAATCTCCTAAACTATTTCTGTTTTGGAAGTGAGGATAAGAAATGCAAAGCTATCCCTTGAAGGATATTAATGAATGGAGGAGTTTCATGGTCTGTCAGTATAATAGCACTTACAGATTCACTGGTACATAAGAAACTCAGAAAATAAGAACAGGAGAAGGCTATTCAGTCCTTTTGGGCAATATAAATGGAGAAGTATAATGAAAGAGGGTGAGGGATTAGTAATCTGTAGTAACAGTAATCAATGAAAAATTGGAATCAACAGATTGGTGACAGTTTGAGAACAAAGGAGGTGCAATGAGATCTGGGGGTCCTTGTACACCAGTCACTGATAGTAAGTATGCAGATGCAGCAGGCAGTAAAGAGGCCAATGGTATTTGGCCTTTATAGCGAGAGGATTGGAGTACAGGAGCAGAGCGTCTTGCTTAATTGTACAGGGTCTTGGTAAGACCACACCTGGAGTATTCTGTGCAGTTTTGGTTTCCTTATCTGAGGTAGGACACACTGGTTATGGAGAAAGTGCAAGGAAGGTTTGCCAGATTCATTCCTGGGACAGCAGGAATTCAATATGACCATGGCTGTTCATCCACCTCAGTACCTTGCTTACGCCTTGTCCCCATACTATTTGATCTCTTTAGCCCAAAGAACTGTATCTATCTCCTTCTTGAAAACATAGCCACATTTGCTGCTTTGTGTGGCAAATAATTCCACAGGTTCACCACTGTCTGGGTGAAGAAATTTTTCCTCATTTCAAACGTAAATGGCCTATCATTTTAACTGTGACTCCTGGTTCTGGTCTCCCCAGACACTGGTAAATCCTTCCTGTGTTTATGTTGCCTGGTTCTGTTAGAATTTTATAAGTTTCATTGAGATTCGCCCCTCCATTCTTCTAAATCAATCCTAACTGATCCAGCCTCTCTTCATATGTCAGTCCTGCTGTCCCAGGAATGAATCTGGCAAATCTTCCTTGCACTTTCTCCATAACCAGTGTGTCCTACCTCAGATAAGGAAACCAAAACTGCACAGGATACTCCAGGTGTGGTCTTACCAAGACCCTGTACAATTAAGCGAGACGCTCTGCTCCTGTACTCCAATCCTCTCACTATAAAGGCCAAATACCATTGGCCTCTTTACTGCCTGCTGCATTTGCATACTTAATATCAATGACTGGTGTACAAGGACCCCCAGATCTCATTGCACCTCCTTTGTTCTCAAACTGTCACCAATCTGTTGATTCCAATTTTTCATTGATTACTGTTATTACAGATTACTAATTCCTCACCCTCTTTCATTATACTTCTCCATTTATATTGTTGGTTGCATCGCAAAAAGTGAAGATTTCTATATTTAAGAGGGTTTGTTATTAAAAAGAGATGATTCAGTCGTTAAATTGTACCTAATTTAAAGGTGAAGATAGCTGCACAAATCTAAACATGGCATGAAGCAAGGTTATCAATGATAGCGGTCCATTTATACAAAACAAGTTCCCACACACAGTATGTGCTATAAATAATCAGGTTAGCGGTGTGCAGTGTTGCTTGAGGGACAGTTTTGGCCAGACACTGAATTCTCTGTCACAGAGTGGTTGAGACCAAAACACAGAATGTTTTGAAAATGGGTATGGTTCACAGGCTCACCACACTCTGGGTGAGGAAATTTTTCACCTCAGTCCAAGTGACTTTCTTATATCGTTGTAATTGTGACCCCCGGTTCTGGGCATCCCGGTCATCGTGAACATCCTTCCTGCATTTCCCCTGTCTAATCCTGTTAGAATTTTATAGGTTATGGTAAGATTCCCCAATGCCCCCTTTCGTGCTTCTATACTTCAGTGAATATCGCCCTAACTGATCCAGTCGCTCTTCATATGGCCTGCTGCCCCAGGGACCAGTCTGGTAACCCGTTGTTGCACTCCCTCAATAGCCAGAGAAACCAGTGGCTGATGGATAATTTTTCAATCCATAGTGAGCAGGTATACAAGTAAGTTGTCAATGGTTATGAAGCAGGCTAAGTAAACTGAACAATATATCCTTTTCACCGTTACTGTTTCGAACTGGTGTCCAGAGGCAGTGTGGGAGCAGCCAATTTACAAAAATTGTGTTGCCTTTTTGTTCTGAACAACCTGTTCAGAGATGTTCTGACACACCTTTGGAGCAGATGGGACTTGAAACCGGACCTCCTAGCTCAGAGGCAGGGACGCTACCACTACACCACAAGAAATCACCCCTCCGTCCCCATCAGTTTCTAAATTGAGCATAGTTCACTCATGCCTGAGGCAACTGTGAATTATGTATGGAGTTTATTTATGGATAGAAAATATGTACAATTGGACTGTCGACCACCAGCATGTTCATTACTTTTTTTTTTGTAAATCCTTTGCTTGGAGCATTTTTGTCAGTCAGACATGGGGTAGGCAGTTCATTTGGTAACTGCATCAGGCTAGTAATAGAAACTGAGCTTGAGGGGACGTGCGTTTCAGGGTGTAATGTTACCTTGATTGACAGGCACCTCATTATTAATCCGAGTTATCACAAACCGTTACTGATAAGCTTCAAAGCAAGAAATATCAATGCATGAAAAATGAGGGTTATTTTCCTGGACACGAGAAAGTCTGTTAAGTACAATGGTTATGACAATGTAACACAGCATAACATGTAACTATGGGCAATTAATCTTGCAAACATGGAAAGCATGTGTAGTTGAAAAGATTGTAGTTTGTTATGTGGTGTTTTATTATTAGTACCTTAAGGTGGAAGATTATCTGTGAATATTGGATTTTTGATAAAACTTGTTAAAATACTGAGACAGTTAAGTTTGTACATAATTTTCTTGTAATATGCATATAATTATTCTCATGGTAAAATCTTCATTTGCAGAATTGATCTCAAGTGTTTTCCAATAATATTAATATTTCATGTTTCTTTAGAGCTGGTACCAACTGTCATAGAAACTTTGCAAGCCCAGACATCCTATAACTTTCAGTGCCAAACCTGTCGACAATCTGTGCTCAAGAAGCAGTAAGATATTTTTGATGTCTTTTTCATATGGTTGACAGTAGGATACTATCTGTAACAGAAATAGCACGTGCATAGTTAATACATTTTTCAGTATTGGAAATGGGTAGGTCAGCTGACTAAGTGCGTACTAGTAGGTCATAGAGTCAAGTCCCACGGTAGAGACTTGAACATATAATTTAGGCTGATACCTCAGAGCAGGTATGAGTGAGTGTTGCGCTGTCGAATCTGGCATATGTTGCATAGCACTGACGTGTGAGGAGAGGTTGAATTGGCTAGCATTGTATTCACTGGAGTTCAGAAGAATGAGGGGGGAATCTCATTAGAAACCTACAAAATTCTAGACAGGTTAGATGCAGGAAGGATGTTCCCAATGATTGGGGAGTCCAGAACCAAGGGTCACAGATAAAGATATAGGGTCAACCATTTCAGACTGAGATGAGAAATTTCTTCACCCAGAGAGTGGTAAGCCTGCAGAATTCACTACCACAGAGAGCAGTCGAGGCCAGAACATTGTATGATTTCAAGAAGGTGTTGGATATGGCACTTGGGGCTAAAGGGATCAAAGCATATGGAGGAAAAGCAAGAAAAAGCCATTGAGTAGGATGATCAGCCATGAACATAATGAATGACCATTTAATGAGGTCATGGATAATATGTGCTCTAACTTGTAATTGCCTTTGCCTTATTATCCACTAATATCTTCATATAACAAAAATCTATCAAGATTCTATCAAGAATCAAAATTCGTAATGAACCTAGCATCCAATTCCAAGTTTTGTGAAAGAGCTCCAAATTTTTATCTTCATTTGTCTGAAGAAGTTTTTGTTTTAATTTCTCTGAACGTTCTAGTTCTCGTTTTTATACTATACTCATGACCAGTAGAAATGGTGTAAAGAGAGGGAAACAATTTGTTTTCCTTAATGTACTGAAAATTTATATCACCCTTTAATCTGCTAAATTCCATGGAATACAATGCTGTCTTGTGTAATCTTGTTTTGTAATTTATCTCTTTGGAGTGTGGGTCCTATTTTACTGAATATTTAGGAACATAAGAACTAAGAGCAGAAGTAAGCAATTCAGTCCCTCGAGTCTGCCCCGCCATTCAGTACAATTTTGGTTGATCTCACCACAGTCTTATTCTTTCCCTCTTGCTCCCCGTAACCCTTCAACCCATTACTAATTAAAAATCTGTTTGTCTCCTTAAATTTACTCAATGTCCCAGTATCCACCACACTTGGGGGTGGTGAATTCCACAGATTCATGGCCCTTTCAGAGAATTAATTTTTCTTCACCGATGTTTTAAATCTGCTGCTCCTTATCCTGCATGGTATGTGTTATATTTTGTCTGCTATTGATAATTCTTTTTAAGATGTGGTACTTACACAGTACTCCAGGTCTGGTTGATCCAGGGCCCTGTAGAGCTGAAATATGATTTTTACCTCCTCGTATTCCACTGCACTATATATTTTGACTATTTTCCGCATTGGTCCTTGACATTTTAATGATCTATTTGCCTGGCTCCCCAAGTCTGTTTTGATCTCCATTGTTTCTAAATTTTCACCATTTGGAAAGCACACTGTTCAATCCTTTCTTAGCTTCAAAGTGGATGACCTCACATTTGCCTATATTGAAATCTGTCGAAACAATTTTGCCCAGTCACTTAATCTATCACTATCTCCTCGTAATGTTGTGTTTCTATATACACAACTTATAAGGCTGCCTATCTTTGTCAAATTTGTATTTGTGGCTTTCTCTCCCATGATCTAAGTTGTTAATGAGTATTGTAAATAATTGTGGCCCCAGAACAGTGGTTTGTTGGATACTGCCAAACACATCCTGAAAGTTAGACTGTTTGTCCATGATCCTTACTCTGATTCCTGTCACTCAACCAGTTCCTGAACTGGATCAATGATTTGCTTTCGATTTCAGGAGCCTTTGCTTATGTCTCTAACATGGGACTTGATTGAATGCCTTCTGTAAGTTGATATAAGTAATATCCATTCTTCAGTCCACTACTATCACTACTTCTCGAAAAGGTTTAGTCAGCTTCCACAGTCATGACCCCTCCCTTTAAATGAATGCTGTGATTCCTCTAGGTAGGGAAACATGCTACATAAATGCAAACTTTTTCCATTTTGGCAATTTTTAAAGGAGCACTGTGCCTCAGGCATAGTTTGTTCATAATAAAAGTGCTAATGATTCTGCAAATTAAAATGTTCTCTATTTAGCAGTGTCAGTAAAACTGAAATTATATTTCTGCTATTTCATCAGGTTTACTGGTCTTTATGTTCTTGCATGGGCATTGACATTTCTACAGTCAATACCTTTCTCGTGTTTGACACGTTGTGTGATGGTAGAGGGGATAGTCTCACTATTCAGCCTTTGTTGTATCAGACTGAGAGTTTTATGGTTCTCAATGGCAGTGTACAATTGAGGCTTATCTCAACTATTTTAAAATCTGATTTAAAATTAGAACCAGAACATACTTTGAATAGTGAAAATAAGTGTGCATCTTGTGTCTGTCATTTCTTGGTCACATTTCAAATATCACGTAAATTTCTGTCTTAAAAATTCAAAGGAACAAAAAAACTTCATTTGACACAGGTGGTAAAGTCTTTTGATCCTCATAACTAAATGACATGTTTGGAAAAAAAACATGTTGTGTAATTCTGTCCCTTGTTTATTGCTTATTTGACAGTGGTTGGGGCTTTATAGCACTCAGTACTGACCACTGACCTCAGCAGCACAGCAATTGCAGTGTACAATATTCCAACTGACAGCTTATCAGTTGAGTTATCACAAGCAAAATCATCACAATCTGCCAGTATTGGTGCAAATCCTGAACTAATTATCTTCAATACAGTGGTCAGTGAAATGTATTTTTATCTTAACAGTAAGACTTCTTTATGTGCATTGATCATATTGCAATTGAATTGTCATGACTTTTTTTATGCATTTGAAGTGAAAAGGCACGCATTGTGGTTTGTCTGATTCTAATAAGCTGTCCCTTTTATATGTAGGACGTTTCAGAGAGTTTTACCGTTGCCTAGTGAAAATTGGAGTGATTTGGTGGAGCACTGGTGCTGTCATCCTGATCCATTTGCCAAGGCCTTACGACCGAGGTTGGATGACTGTTTATTAGGCGACACTTTCCTACTTGTGAATGTGGCGAGCATTGATAAAACTGCAGTGCATGAAGAGCCAGCAGGGCAGTCAGATGTCAAGCAGAATGCAGTTCACAGTGGAACCCATGTGGTGCAGGTAGGGCTTTTGCTTACGACATATAGGACTTCCCCAATCCTTCAGCTTGACTTTGTTGATAATGTTAGATACTAGGGTTGAAGTCTTTATTTACATTTCTGCTTTAGTAGAGAGAGAAAAAAACTCTGCATTTATTTAATAACATTGAAAACACAATATCCCAAAGTCTTTTACAGCTATTGAAGTACTCGTGAAGTGTGGTAATGAAGGAAAACGAAGCTAAAATATTTCTCCAGTTATTTTTTAAGAGTACTTTGGGAAGAGAAGAAAGGGACATCCTCTTAATTTCTGTACTTGTCAAATTTAAATACTTGTAGAAAAGAGGCACCTCACGTCGATATTCCATTACATTGTTCCATGGTCTCAGCTTCCAGATTCACCTCATGATTAAAGTTTCAGGTGGCCTGGGAGGGAATAATTTCTTTGAAGAAAGTCGGGAAATCCACACGGAGCATGCAGTTCAGGTTGGTGTCACACACTAATTAGTACCCACTTTAACTGAGAGTAACCCTGGTCAGAGAGCATCATGTGACCACGTCCTTGACGGGGGATTTATGAGAAAACCATACTATATTATTCCTCCTCCGTCATCAGGGGTCGATGATGGGCTCTAAGAATGTGCCATGAGGCAGTTTGCTCGTGGTATGGAGGAGAAAGATTGGCCAGCTGGGTGCTGCTTTAGATTCTTAAGTATTGTTGGAACTGCACTCATCCAGGCAACTGGGCAACACTTCATCACACTCCTGACTTGCGCCTTGTACATGGTGGACAGGCAGGTGAGTTATTCCCCTCCCGATTCTCAGCCTCTGACCTGCTGTTGTAGCCATAGTGTTTGAATGCTTAGTCCAGTTCAGTTTATGACCGATGGAAGGTTGTAGTGGGGGATTCAGCGGTAGTAAGGTAAGGGGAGTTGATTAGATATCCTCTTGTTGGTGGTAGACATTACCTGGCCCTTCTTTGGCGTGAATGTTACTTTTCAATTATTAACCCAAGCCTGATGGTTGTCCAGATATTAATACGCATTGGCATAGACTGTTTTACTGCTTCAGGAGCTGTGAATGGTGTTGAACATTGTGTTATTACCAGCAAACATCTCAACTTTTGGCCTTGTGTTGGAAGGAAAGGTTATTGAAGAAGGGGACCACTACCTGGAGGCACTGATGCGGTGATGCCCTTGGACTGAGATGATTTGTCTCCAACAGCGACAGCCATTTTACTTTGTGCTAGCCATGTGTCCAGCCAGTGGGGAGTTTCCCTGATTCTCATTGACTTCACTTAGAGCTCTGTGTTACCATACTTGGTCAAATACTGCCTTAATATTAGCAAGACAACTTTAAGTATACACTCAAAAAAGCCCCTTGAAATAAATGGCAACATATCGTTTGCCTTCCTAATTGCTTGCTGCACCTTCAAGCTAATATTTAGCGACTTATGGACAAGGACACTCCAGATGTTTGGTCACCCAATCTCTCATCATTTAATTATATATCATTTATATGACTCTTAACTGCCCTCTGAGCAATTAGGGATGGACAATAAATGCTGGCCTATCTGGTGACACTCACCTCCCGTGAATGAACAAAACAAAAATTTATCAATTAAGTATACTGGCTTTTTATATTTTCTACTAAGGTGAATGCCCTCAAGCCTTATTTGCATTATATTCTGTCTGCCATATTCTGGTCCATTTACTTAGCCTGTCCAAGTACTCTTAAAGATTCCTTGCACTCTCCTCATAACTTGTGGTCCTATCCATTTTGGGGTCATGAACAAATTTAGAAATATTAACAATAGGTCCCCACATCCAAATCATTTAGCTTGTGTTCAGTTGTAGACCCAGCTCTGACACTTGTGGTACCCCCATTAGTAATAACCTGCTGTCCTGAAAATGGTCCATTTATTCCTGTTCTGTATTCCATCTATAGCCAGTTCTCAATCCATACTAGAACATTCCACCCCTCACCCCTCAACATCATGTGCTCTGGTTTTATTTCCTAAAGCCTTTTGAAAATCCAAATAATCCATAATCATTGGTTCTCCTTTGTTTATGCTACAATTAGCATAAAAAAACTTCCAAACAAGTTTTTTGTCAAACATGATTTCCCTTTCAGCAATTGGTGTTGAATCTGTGCAGTTCTGCCAAGGTATTCTAAATGTCCAGCTATCACATCCTTCAGAATTGATTCTAACATTTTCCCTGCCATGAACATAAAGTTTGTATTTTTCATTCTCCCTTTTCCTTCTTAAGTAGAGACGTTAAATTTACATTCCAGGAAACTTTCCAGAATTGATAGAATTATGAAAGATGAAAGATAATCTTTATTGCTTTTTCTTCAACGCTGTATAAAGTTCATCTGGTCCAGTGATAATCAACAATGGATTCATGGTCATCATTGGACTCTTAATTCCAGATTTTTGTTGAATTCAAATTCCACCATCTACTACGATGGGATTCGAACCCGTGTCCCCAGAACGTTACCTGGGTCTCTGGATTATCAATCTAGCAATAATACCACTAGGTCATTGCTTCTCTTGAGTATATGTTTTTTTGATTAGTTTTTCAAACCTTGAAGTTAAGGAATAGGGTCAGTAGTTCTGTGCATTTAAAAAAAGTAGGGAAAAGCAGTGTTGTTGCCTAGTGACTGAAGTGTAAGTAATATTCAGTTTAGTTTGCAGATTATTTTAAATGACTTGGGAAGACACATCAGATGAAGAAAATTTAGAGACTCAACATGCAGAAATTCACCAGAAGAAAACTGGTTACAGCTATGTCAGCCTGAGCAAAAAACTGTAATGTAGAGACATAGTGATAAACCCTTTGTTGGGATTTGGTGATTGTAAGGATATGCTGGGGAAAAAAAGGAATTCTGTGGGTTGAATCCTTTTGTGATGTTTGTGATGAAATCTTTTCAATCTTTTTATGTCGTGTAATATAGTTCTTGTTTGATCTTGTCATTAAATTATATTTTTAGTAAAAGAACGCTGGTAACTAGAAGCAGGAATAGGCCATTCAGCCCCTCAAGTTTGCCTTGCCATTCTATAAGATCATGGCTGATCTGCTGCAGGCCTCGACTTTTGTGTGAGCTCCTCATAGCCCTCAGCATTCTATTTCAAAAGTCTCTGTACCTCCTCTTCAAATACTTTCAATAATCTAACCTCGGCAACTCTCTGGGGTAGAGAATGTATTACCCTCCAGGAGAAGAAGTGAGTTTCCCCTTATTCTGTAACTGTGTGCCCTAGCTTGAGAATATTAGTGGAGACATCTTTTCAATATCTATCCTGGCAAGCCCTTTCAGAATCTTTTATATTTCAGTCAGATCACCTGTCCTCCTAAACTCCAGTAAATATAGCCTGACCTCTTTTGTCATTCTTTATAGGTCAACCCCTTCATCCCACCACTCAATCTAATGAGTCCCTTTTGAACTGTCTCCAATGTCCTTTCTTAAATACATAACTGAACACGGTACTTAAAAGCACTGCGCAATTGAAATAAGATATCCCTGGTTTTAAACTCCAACCAGCTAACAATAAAGACCAAAATTCCATTTGCTGCCTCAACTATATGCTGCACCTGCTTGCCAAAGTTTGTATTTCATACACAAGAACATCCAGATCCCTCTGTGTTGCTTTTTTTTCGGAATCTCTCTCCATCTAAATAATAGTCTGTCTTTTGATTCTCCTTGCCAAAGTGATCACCTCCTAAGTTCCTACATCAAACTGTATCTTGCCAAGTTTTTGCCCACTCACTCAACCCATCTGTATCTCTTTCAGATTCCTTGTTTTTTTGATTGTGGCTAACACAAAGCAAGGACCGGGGTTTCTGTATTTAACAAGAGCTACTATTTAACACAAATTAATGGATTCTAATCACAACTAAACAACTATAAACTGTCCAAATGTGACTCGACCGGTCAAAACTGTGACCCTTTTACCTACTTGGTTGGCAACATAAATAGGTGGCAATAAAGACTTAAAAAAAATTTTTGCCTTGGTCAATTGATTTTTCTCCCCTGATCCAGGAAAGGAGTAAACCTGATGAACATTAATATGCGTACATTATTCATTTCCCATGATTTGCATCTTTTGCTTGGAACTTAAGATGCTCGTTATTAAAGCCTTTTGGCCTGATATTATTGTCCTGATGCAGGGTTACGGTTCTATTAAGAGTCACATTGAGACAACCAATTAAAAATTATGCTGTATTTCTTCATTTCCCTAGGAGGCCTCTCGATAACTTTCTAGCAGCCACGGTTGGCTCGGTTCAGTCATTTTTCTGTGATTGGTCAATGGGAAATGTGTTAAAAAGGGCCAAACACTTTTATCCCCTTTTCCTTGCTCAAGGTTGAAATATGTCACTTTTATGCCACCTTCCATCTAGAGTGGCAGCTGCCAAAGCTCCCTAGTTGAAGCTTAAGGGATTTGGAACACAGTCTAATATAGAGTTATATAGACTGCAAGGATATCTCTGTTTTACATAAAAATGAATGCCTGTTCTGTATCATCATGTTGTTCACTTTTTGGTTTCTTGCAGATGGAAAGTGAAAATAACACAATAGTTTGCACTCGCTGTAGAAAGTTGCTGGGAATTGTGACTTCATCAGGTATAATGTGGATTTATAACTCTGATATTTCAGAACAGTGTCTAGATATTTGGATTTCCCATTGCCTCTGTGTCATTCTCTTGATTGCATTTTACTCCTTTTAACTTTCCACTTTCTCTTTCACTCCACTGTTATGTCTGCCTCTTTAAACGTGCTTCTCTCTTCCTCTGTTGCTTTCTTGCTCCTTTGGTTCGACTTGCTCACTCAATTTCTTTAATCCCATTGCACGGATTTGCTTAATTATTGTCTGCAGCCTCAACTTTGCCGGTTTGCTGCTGCAGGGCTTGGTGGTGACCTGAAAGCCTGTGCTAATGGCAATAGTTGGAGGAGCTGCATGTGACATATTTTGCTTATTGAGTTCTATGTGGGATTGATTGGACGGCCAGCTAATGAAAGTTTTGAACTGCACTCGTAAGAATAGAACTGCATGTGGTTGAGGACCAAGATAACAGCCCACCACTGTGGTCAGCATCTACATTGGGACTTAGTTATAAATTGAGCTGAATAGCTTGGCTGGGTTCTCTCTGAGGAATCAGTGCTGAAGAAAGGTCACCGGATCCGAAACATAAACACTGCTTTCTCTTGACAGATGCTGCAACACCTGCTGAGTTTTTCCAGCAATTTCTGTTTTTGAGGCTGTTCATCCCATTGTGCCTGTGCCAGCTCTTTGAGGAAGCTGTCTGATTTAGTCCAGCACCTCTTTATTCTAAACTCCTAATGCAGTGCATTACTGCTCGTCATTTGAAAGTTCCTTTGGGATCTGCCTTCACCTTCTTTTCATTTAATGTCTTTGAAATTTTAACAATCATTTGGAGGGGGCACGGTGGGTGTGGGGGCGCTGTTGTGGTGGGGATGGGGATGTTTCTTTCCCCTCTAACTCTATTGCCAATTATTTTAACTCCCTGATCTCTGGTCAGTGACCCATTCCCAGACGAAAATATTTCCACTACTTTTGTTTTTAGTTTTCACTCACTGGTTTGACCTGCATTTGTTGCCCATCTCTTATGGTGCTGAGGAAGTAGTGGTAAACTGGTGTAGTCCATGTGATGTAGCAACACCTATGGGGCGTGTCAGAGAGGGATTTCCAGGATTTTCAACTAGCAACATGAAGGAACTTGTCAAAATCCTTCATTGTTTTGAATTTCTGTATCAGGCTTCCATCTGACATTAAAAGGACAAGGTCACTGCTCCCAGAACTTCTTCCAATCTTGACCCCATTTTAATGCTTGAGAATTGATGCAAGCCCAGAGCTGAGTGGGGAGTATTGGTGGTTGGTCGAGTAGGGGATGGGGTTGTGTGGATTTCAGTGGTTTTGAACACATGGATGCAGCCTCAGAGCTGGGAGTTGTGTATCTACGTCAGTGCCAATCCAAGGACTGTCTCAACATAGTTACCATTGATGCGTGTGAACTAGACACCCCATCTGATTGTCCCTGTAGTTGAGATTTGGGAACATTGACATAAGATCCTAGGAAGTAGGAGCTGGAAAATGCCATTCAGCCCATTGGGCCATTCAGTAAAGTCATAACCGATCTGATTATGGGCTTTCTTGCTAATCCCCTATATCCTTGACATCGGTGTAGATGAGAAATCTACACTGGGTGAAAAGATGGTGCCAGCGCATGGCGACTCTTTGGGAGCAGATCTACAACAGATCTCATTCTTACATATCTTACCCTGATGTGCTTTATATGGTACGATCTGCCTGTATAGCACGCAAAACAACATTTTTAAGACCAAAGACTAGAAGACATAGGAGCAGAAATTAGACCATTCAGCCCATCGAGTCTGCTCCGCCATTCAATCATGGCTGATAAGTTTCTCAGCCCCATTCTCCTACTCTTTTCCCGTAACCCTTGATCCCCTTGATAATCAAGAACTTATCTGTCTCCATCTTAAATGTACTCAATGACTAGGCACCCACAGCCTTCTGTGACAGTGAATTCCATAGATTCACCACTCTCTGGCTGAAGAAGTTTCTCCTTATCTCTGTTCTAAAGGGTCTTCCCTTTACTCTAAGGTTGTGCCCTCAGGTTCTAGTCTCTCCTACCAATGGAAACATCTTCCCAACATCCACTCTCTCTAGGCCATTCATTATTCAGTAAGTTTCAATTAGATTCCTCCTCATCCTTCTAAACTCCATCAAGTATAGACCCAGAATCCTCAAACATTCCTTATATGTTAAGCCTTTCATTCCTGGGACCATTCTCATGAACCTCTTCTGAACCCGCTCCAGGGCCAGTTCATCTTTCCTGAGGTATGGGGCCCAAAACTGTGCACAATACTCCAAATGTGGCCTGACCAGAGCCTTATGGAGCCTCAGAAGTACATCCCTGCTTTTATATTCAAGTCTGCTCAACATAAATGCCAACATTGCATTTGCCTTCCTAACTACTGTATATTTTTATATGTGAGAACAATAAATAATCAAAATAAAATCTGCCGTCAATATTTTCAATCACCCAGTCTCCACAGAAAAGGATTTCAGAGATGACTGAATCTCTGAGAGAAGACATCCTTCTGCATCCCTCTCACCTTTTAAACTCCAATGAGTCGACATGGACGAGTTAGACCGAAGGGTTTGTTTCCGTGCTGTACAACTATGACTCTGAGCAAGTCGGGTCTGTATCCAATTTTGAATGTTCGGAGGTGACCTCAGAGTTTTCCGGATTGTATGATATTTTCATGGAGAAAATGATGATGGAAGGAAAAAAAATGCCCTCTGGCACGTGGATCATTTACAAAAGATCAGAGATTCACGTTCAGTGGGGAATTCCTGAAGCCGGGTATCAGAATTATCTCCTCTGTAGTGATGTGATTGTTTCTGTGGATATTACAAGAGTGGTCAAGCTTTGATTCTTCACCTCTGGTTTTCACTGCATGACTGGAGATAGGGAGAAAGTGAGGGTTATAGAGGAGGAAAGAAACAGAACTGACACTAAACCAAAAGATCTGTGGCTTATTTTCACTTTCTTATTTAAATAATTGAAAATTGACATTTGTAATTTTCCAATTCAAATGGAAATTCTTAAAGTTATAAAGTTTGGGAAAAAACTGAATTTATTTTTTGTCACTTTGGGATGTAAGTTATCAAGTTCTGAAGATTTATCTGTCTGAAGCCCTATTATTTTCTACACTGCTGCCTTATTAACAAATTAAGCACAAGTTTGTCCCAAAGTTTTCAGTTCACCTTTGCCTTTTGTTCATTATCCAATAATGTCTCCTGTTTGAATACATCCACAGAAAATTACACTACACCTTGTTTAATATATCTTCTCCAGTTAGCCTTCCTATTCCCAGGCAGCTTTTTCTTATTTATTAACTTCCTTTGTTGCTTTTTGTGCCTGTCCCAGTCTCCTACATGAACTATACGGAAATAGTTAGAAATTAATAATAGATACATAAAGGGATTGTGAAGAGAAATATGTTGGATGTATCAAAGCTGACAGCAAATGTTTTGCAGTGCTGTGCAAGTTAGAAGTGTGTTGCTGCTTTACAGTGTTTGAATGCATGATGTCTAAAGGCCAGCTCTTCATTATTTTGTCAGTGTGGATATGTTGAGATGGCTCTGGTTTTGAAGTCTTCACCTGCATTTGATAATTTGTGGACTGAATTAAATTATGTAGCTTGGCAGACTTGGTCATACTTTCAAAGTGAATGTCGAGTTACTCACCACTGTATCCAGATGCTTATTTTGTGTAGGAGTGGATTGCATCCTGAGAGAGAGGACAAACTATTGGTGTGTGGAGGAGGACAGCAGGCCAGGCAGCATCAGAGGAGTAGGCAAATTGATGTCTCGGGTCGGGACCCTTCTTCAGAAATGGGCCATTTCCGCACCGTGTTATCTCTGACTCCAGCATCTGCAGTTCATGCTATCTCTGAACTATTGGTGTGGTGTGTGCTAGCTCTCACACCGAAAACACCTGGGGCCTGATTTCATCTCCATGTGTGAATCTGTTTTGTCCGTGTTAAAATCTCACCCCTTGTGTTTCCGAGAAGTAGTCTGAGTAGCTAGAAGGAGGGGTCCTGAGGGCAGTGTAAATTACAGGGCTACATCCAGTGCAGGGCAGAGGTGTGGACCTCTCCCAGAAATCTCTCTTTAAGGCAGGCAGCTCTCCTTACATTTCTGGAGACTGTCTTGGTTCGGGTGCAATGTGTAGGATTTGAGGAATGCATTGTATTTAATGTATCTTCCTTAGTGCGCACACTTTTAATTGTCAAACTCAAAACCTGATACTTTTTAATTTTAAAAGATGTTTCCCTGATTAATTTAGACTTCATGATCAATAAAATAATAGCTACTGGAAGTTATAGTGTAAGCATAACTAAAGAGACATCAGTGCATATGACAATTTGATAGGATATGTTTTCAAGTGATATGTAAAGCAGAAATTTATGCACCAGTTCCATTACATTGCAGGTGTTTGAATTATTTTCTTACAGATACCATTAAATTTTATATCACTGAGGTGCTGGTCCAACCTTTGACAAATAAGACTTTGAAAAGACAGATACGTGAAAGGTAATGTTTCTTCACATTGATAATTCCAACATGTCTCTGTGATCGTAATGCTAATATTTGTTTGGCATTGATGATGGCTGAAAGCTGACTATATTAACTTTAACCCTGACCATTATAATCAAGCATTACAGTTTTAATCAATAAAAGAAATAGAATCTTTCATCATATAATGAGCTAGCTATCTAGCCTCACAAACTCTGGGGATTTCGCAGCAGGGGTGAACATAATTCTTTTTGTCGATGTCTCCTTTTTGATTTTCAAGTGCTACTTTTGGTGTTCAGGGGTTTTTCTTCATTGTCACTAACTCTTTGTTAGATAATGCAGCCACGTATGAACATTACAGCCTGTGTTTGTATTGATGTATGGGTATTTGGAATGAAGTGAGACGGAATTGAAAGAATTCAACCATGTCCTTAAAATCAACACTGTTACATTAAACTTAAAACTACAATACAAGGAAAGCATTAAGTTCCCAGATACTGCTGTCCTGAAATTGGCACAAGACAGCTGACATAAGTTAGCTACAAAAGTTTTTTTTTAAAATAAAGCACTTTTGCCATTACCATAATCATGTTTTCTGTGGACTGGTGAGGTTTTAGCTAAATATTTGCATGTTTCTCTCTAAAAGAGACACAACACCTCAGGCAATTCTCAGGTATCTGAGACACTTTGAGACATGACAACACATAAATGTCAATCGTTCTGAAATAAACCTGCTCAGTATTAAATTACTCAATTGACATGCTGTTCATTCTAATGACATCTGCTATATCTTTGTGAAATGGTTAAAAACTTTTCTGTCCCCCCTTCGATGCTCCGTGTCTCCCTCCTTTTGAAGTCCCTCACCTCTCTCTGTCTCTTCCCCCCCCCCTTCTCTGTCTCTCTCTCTCTTTGTCTTTCTCTCCTTCTATCCTTCTCTCTATCTCCCACCCAACCCCACCTCTCTCTCTCTCTCCCCTGCCCTCCCCACAGCTTGCCCACTTCTCCAGTTCTGGCAGTGCCACCCATTCCCTCCAGTATTCCCCCAGCAGCCTGATTCCTTGCTGCCACTCACCCTCATTCTGGTCCTCCAATCCCAGGCTGCTTCTCTCTGTATTTGCTGCTGAAAGGCTCATAGTTTGCACGTGAGAACCAGCCTCCGATTGGAGGAGCAGCTCCTCATCGATTCTGGCCATTCTATTTATGCAAGTGACTTTTCTACAGTTTTTTAGCAGACTTTTGCGGGGTGAATCCACCTGCAACCCCCCCTCCCCCCCCTCCTCCACCACCACCAATGCATTTATCAGAGTTGCTTTGAAGAGATTTTGGACTCTGTAGCATCCTGCCCTGGTGTGAATTATCATCTTCCGGTGGGGGCGGTAAATGGAAAGATTTCACTGATTGAAATGTAGCTTTAAATTTTTCTTTAGATCTTGGTTTGTGGAGACTGTGATTGCTGGCCGGCTGAAGGAGTTATCATCTGCTCAGTGTAGCTTCAGGTTCTGTATTCAGGGGCACAATGGTAAAACCTATATTCTGGTAAGAATCCTTTTTTCTGGACCTTGCAAAATAAGGCCATGTCTGCTTATTACTCATGACAGTTCTTGAGTGTTTATGAAATGCCAGGAGTTGATTTTACCTTTCATTATAAAGTTACAAATCGATTCTTTTACTGAAGATCGACAATGGGTTGCCTTTCAAATTTTACCTCTAGATGGCAGAGTTTGAACATGTATTTAAAAGCAATTGGTGGAGTGGGTTTTTGTACACAATTTGTCATAGCCCTTTTATTGTCCTTGAAAAAACACTGTCTCTAAAGTGATACGGCAAACATTTTGTGTCTCATTAATTAGCATTTTCAGACTGTCACTTTCAATGTGTGGTGGTAAAATGTTGCTCTTTCAAGACACCTCTGTGTACTTTGATTAATATTCTTTCTGATCCTGTTTGTAGGAAAGAGACATATACTGTGCCTGACATTCAAAAATAATTTATTATTAGAATGATAATTAAACTGCTCTGATGTAGTTTAAATAACCTGTCAGTTACAGTCTTTCTGTTATGAGTAATAATTTTGTCCTTCTCATGTATAGCTGCTTTTGTTCTGGATCTATTCCGCATTGCATCTTTCCTGCTGTAGAAGGGTGTCTTTGAGGGAGCAGTAAAATAAGTGCATCCTATAATAGAAGAAATGCTGAATCTAGACAAATCCTTTTAAACAGCAATTGTGCAGTGGTTTAGTTTCTGCTGAGGTGATATTTTGAAATTGTTGCTCTGTGCACTTTTGTTATTGCAAAATGAAATTGTGAAATATCTAGGTAGGGTTGGAAACCTACCTACAGCTGAAATAATACTGCTGTTCTCATCAAGATAAAATTGAATGTATAATGTAGGGTATGAAAGATCATGTCAGTTGTGAGCATTCAGAATGATCAGGAGTTTTGATGAGGTAGTTGAGGAAACCTTTTATTCACCAGTTGGTGAATTGGTAGCCAGGGGCAATACGTTTACAATCATTACCAAGGGAATGCAACGAAAGGTTAGGAATTCTTTCCATGCAAATAAAGAAAGTATCAGAAACTGTGATGGATACAAAATACCTAATTGGCTTTACTGACAAATGGATAAATATTTGAAAAACAAAAACTATAAAGAGCATGGCAGAGTAATTAAGTGGGGAGGTCTTTCAGATAACCAGCATTGTGTTGAATTGACTCTCGTGTAGTAAGATTAGAGCACTTTTAAATGATTTAATTTAAGTCTCTGATGGGGTTGACAGCGGTGATTGGGACAAATATTGGAGATTTGTCTTTGAAGTGAACTCTGTTGAGTTCACGACACAGACATTGAGCACAGTCTGTAAAAGAAACTAGTGGGATGAACAAGTTTACTTACTCTGTTATTTCCTGAATTTATATTTTCTGAGCTGCTAATTGATTTTTCAGTGTTGTTTTTTGAAGAGGGAAGGAGATTCGGATCAGGAAGCATAGAAAGGCCGAGTTAATTGGGAGTAAGACTTTCAAGGGAAAGGAGTACACAGTATTTAAAAATAAAAGACCTTTCTTTATTGAAGGTTTAAAACTTTGCTGTCGCTGGCTCCGACTGTGGTTGGTCTGTGGTATCACTTGAATAGCAAGTACACAGTGTCATAGACTCAGTACTAAGTTAGAGTTACACTGACTCAAAAGTTTTAATAATATTCATGAAGATTGAACCTGTGTGATTACTGAGCAGCACACATCTAGGGAAAGGCTTACCAATAACATTGTATTAGGGTTTTCAGGAACACGGAAAGGTTTTAAGGCCCTTCAAAACTATTAACTGATCAATTTCATCTTCCTACCATCTTACTATAATGCTGAATCCTTTAGTTCTATAAACCTCTGAAATCCATTAGCCTGATTCACCTCAGTGGCTAATTTTTAGTTAATGGTTTAACATCTCCGACCATTTGGTTGGAAAATAAGCCTCCACCACTCCCCACCCCGACCACATCCCACTGCATTTTCTATTTTTTTATTTCAGCCCCTCATATTTGAAGTTTTCATCTGAGTGAACAGTTTGACCTTTTGAACTTCGCTTTTTCGTTTTCATTAAGTAGTTTAATATTTAGTTGGGATTAGAGATGATTCTATGTTAATCAAAACTTTCATTTTTATTAAAGTTAATTGCTCATGCTGATAATGGTGGTGTTTGGATATTATACATTTCTTGTTGGTTTTGGATATTATACATTTCTTGTTGGTAGCACTTTATGAAAACTCTGGTTGGATCACTGATGTATGGAACTAGGCTGGTCCAGTCTTTGTGACTGCTTTATTATTTCATCCAAGTATTTCATAATTTTAGAATTATTAACACAATGAGACCTGGCTGCACATTTATGTCATGTACTCTGTGAAAAGGATATCATGCCAAGGGAAAAAAAACTTGTAAAAAATGTGCAACATTTCAGTGGTATAATGGCATAATGAGAGTGGGAAAGGTCACATGGGAACCTTATTGCTATTGTGTTCTTGCAACATTTTGAATCAATGGACTAAATCCTACTGAAAAATATGGTGTGTTAATGATACATATTGCCACTAGTACACAAGTTGAATATCAGGTTCAGGGAATTAAGTGTTGTTGTGTGATTTAAAAATCTCCAAACCTGGGCCCAGGAATAAAGTAATTTGTGGTAGAATCAGAAATCCAGAATGAATAGTCTCCTGAATGTCGTGCAGAATCTAACTGCAAACGTCGATGGCTTGCTGGTGGCGAATGGAAAGACTGTGGGTCTCGTGTAGCATTGCTCATCAGGCCTGGATGAAGCATTTCTACCTTTTTGCATTGACTAGGACAAAAAAGGCAGTTATCTCATGGATTCAGCTCCTCTTTCCTCCTTTTAAGCTGCTAATTTTCCTGAGCCTTGAGAAACTCAGCTTCCAGTGATTTAAAATAAAATATCGATTCAAATAGAGAAATGCAATCTCTCAATACTTTTTGAAAGACCAGCCCATTTTTAACAAGTGATTTACCCAATTACTCCTTGTCTTGGAGCTGGATAAGTTCACGATAGCTTTGTTTCTCTCTCTCATTTTTTTTGTTGCATTTTAACCTCTGCAATGATCTGCTTTTGAGAGATGAGGCGCAGCCCATTATTCCTGCAATCTTGATTTGGGATTTCCTGGAATAATATTCCTTTGACAGAATTGTTTAACCTCAGTGTGAAGCCTGGACTCATTATACCAATATTTTAAAAACTCTGAAATGCCTGGGTGGAAGTAATGCAAAATACCCAAAAGGCCAGGATTCATCTGTGGCTGCAGACCACAGATTCGACCAGAGCTTGTAAAATGTGAACAATAATAGTGCAGACATGCATGGGAGCATTGTAACAACATCAGCAGTGTTTGGGTCTTAGTACCAGATGTGTTATTAGGATAAACATCAAGGAAGAAGCTAGGCACTTGCCCCATTAGAATCAGTGGGAAGCATTCTGTGTTCGTCAATGCCCCCGTAAATAGGTTGTGTTGCATGTTCAGCCCTCATTATATTGCTGTGGAAGTGTTCTGGTTTCTGAGGTTGAAGGAGATGTGCACCAATGGGTTAGATAAATCAATGGCAGCACTGATTTACAATGTCAGTTTGTCACATTGTGAAACTTAATGCAATAAATTCAGCTTCTATATCCATTGCGGTTTAAGCTGTCAATTTATACACCAACACAAACTGTGGAGCAGAACAAGCTTGCCCTGGCAATCCTATAATTTGATTTAAGGAGGCACATCTTCTACACCAGCATATCATGTGTGTAATTTTTCTTACTTTCTATAGCATCAACAACTTAACCATGAATTATATTTTTGTGTGGATTCATAAACAAAATTCTCTTAGATTTTTTTACTTAGCAGCACAGATGACCCAATTGTAATCCTAACTAGGGCAATAAGAATAAACAAAAGAGTACACCTATTGCTGAGAAATTGAAGCTTGTGGTTTTAGACTAAACAGATGCATTATGCACAGTGGTGGATGTTCCTTGGATTTGTTCATATTAAAGTGGTGATTGCACAGTTTATTTGGAAGATAACGTGAAAAGTGCACAGCAAAGGATAAGGGAGAACTTGAGGAAGATTGAGGGTTGGTCCCGGACCCTTGAGTACAGAGTGACAGAGATTTGCAGAGCTCCCAGCTTTGGTTACATTATTTATATTGGTATAGATTTTATGACAGTAACAACAGTGAAAGTGGAAACTGGCAGATACATCTGGGACTGTACTTTCAGATGCTCTTGGTGGAATCTGGGTGTAGGAGCGATTGTTTAAAAATTATAGTGCCAGAGGGCGTCTCTGGATGGACTTTTACTAGCAAGCTTGCAGATTTTCTTTTTCTTCTTTTCATTCACAAATGACTAGATTAATATCGGATGTAAATTTATGTTATTGGGATGTAAATGCATCACCTCATTCTACACTGTTTCCATTGTCCCAGTCCCATTATATTTGCCCCTGACAGAGTTTCATTTCACTCATCAGATGAGATCTAGCAGTGGACTAGGGCTGTTAAAATTGAACTGCGGGAGTTTACACATCAGTTCCTGTGCAAGTAAATTTTAACTCATCGCTGATTTTACTTTGATCTATCCATGGGTATGAAATATGAGTGGTTGGCACTTTTAGAATAGAATGAAATGCATTGCTTTGCTTCAGTTAATTCCAGCCAATTCTTGAAGCATCTCATGTATCAGTACACTAAGATTTAGGATTGTGACCACCATTATACCACACCAAATTATCAAATTTGTGAAAGAGAATTCATACCAGAAAAATCCTAACCAAAACACCCAAACATAGGGATAGTAACTCAGAATCTGTGGAGAGATTTGTAGCTTAGAGTTCACACTGGTCTCCCGACCAGTCTGAATAAGTTTGAGGCAAGTTTTAAATGCTAACCGAGGTCTTTATGCACTGCAAGATGTTTTCAGCTTGTGGGAACTACAGCTCCGTAAACAGCATCTGGAAATACGAGAAGCTACCTTTCAAGTCTGATGTCCT